CACTACAAGGCAAAATTCAAAAAAAAAACAATGCATTGAGTGTGTGAGTGTGCATGGTTTCTCACGGCCACCACGCAAATATATATATATATATAAATATATACATATTCTTTTTTATAGCAGCGGTGCCGCCAGCGCACATGTAAGGACCAGCACACACGCACACACGCCTGAGTGCGACATCACACTGGCGCATCGATTTACTTAACGAACGAGCGGCGCGAACAGCAGAACAGGCCGTAGAGGGAGACGTGGGGGCCAGCGAGGCGGGATAGTGACAGAGGGGGATGCTCTGTTGCAGTGCATCGGTTGTCTCCCTGCGACTCCTTCTACTTCCTGAAGACCCATCATTAGCGCTCTTCTGCCTCGTAGAGCATCATGTGATATATCTCTTTTTTTTTTTCTCTCCCGCTGTTTCAGCTTTTTTTTTTTCTTCTCACTTCTTCTTTTCATATGCCCGTTTGTTCTCTTCCACCTCTTTTCCTCTTCTTAACAAGGCCGCTCTTGCACAAACTTAAAAATATATATCCTGAGGGGGTGGGGGCGTCGGCGACCGGTACGCACACACACACGCAGTGAGCCACAGGCAGACACCCTCGTGGATGGAGGCGCACAAAAAACAAAAATGACCAATGACATCCCACAAAAGCGACGCAAGAAAGAACATCCCCACAATGAGTATCCCTCTGGCTATCTGCCTTTTCCTTTTTCGCTATTGCGTGCGTGTACTTCTGCACAGGATTACACTCCACTTACAAGTCCTCCTTGTCACCGTCGGCGCCCGCGTCCTTCGCTTCTTCCGACTCCTTCACCTCCTCCGACTCCTTCTCATCTTCCGCTTCCTTCTCATCTTCCGCTTCCTTCTCATCTTCCGCTTCCTTCGCCTCTTCCGCTTCCTTCGCCTCTTCCGCTTTCTTCGCCTCCTGCTTCGTCTCAAAGGCCTTGAGCGCCTCTGCCTCCGCCTGCTTCAGGCTGCCGTACGTCTCCTTCACCAACTCCAGCACCTCCGCCACGTCGTCGCCAAGCACGATGTTCTTGAAGATGCTGCCTGACTCCACCTGCCAGATGTCAATTCCAACGTGTGCGAGCGGCTCCGGGATCTTGTAGAGGCCATCGTCCGGCTTGTACTCCGGGTTGGGAATCACTCGCGGCTTCCATTCCCCCTTGTACGCAGGGTTGGGGATCTGCCGCGGCTTCCACGCGCCCTTCGCCTTCGGGTTCGGGATCATCGGGGCCTCCCACGCGCCGTCCTCCGCGTCGTCCCAGTCTTCGGGTTTCTTCGCCTCTTCGTCCGGGATCATCTCGGGCTCCTCGTCCCAGTCCGCCGGCTTCTTGTCCTCTGGGTCGTCCATGGTCTTCTCGTCCACCCAGTCATCGGGTTTCTTGTCGGTCTCGTCCGTGATCTCGCGTGGCGGCAAAAGGCTCCAGTCATCCTCGAGGGCGCCCTTCGCCTTCGACTCGCCGTCAAGGAAGAACTCGTACGTGTTGTCCGTGGCGATGCGCAGGGTGTACACGTGCGTCAGCTTGTCATCTGGGAAGTGGATGTTCTTGGACCACTCGTGATTCTCCCCGTTGCGGTGCAGGATGATATGCACCTTGTTCTTTGCCCCGCAGCGGTCCGGGCCGAACATGAGCCAGTATTTCGTCTCACCGTTGAACTTCTCCGCATCCATCGCGGGGAGCAGCTTGATGTAGCCGCCGCCGCACTTCAGATCCTGCCCGTGCTTCACCGAGAAGGAGACCACAAAGTCCTTCCCGTCGTTGGTGATGGGTGTGGGCAGGGCCGTCGAGAAGGCGTAAAAGCGGGCATCGTCCATCAGACGGAGGCCTTTGCTCTTTTCTGCGTCCGCGTAGAAGTCGCCCGCCGACAGCTCCACCTTGCCGAGATCATCGCGGTACTTGGAGGGGGTCCAGTGATCAAGGCTCTTGAACTCCTCATGGAAGTACACCGTGGCATCTACGGCCGCCAGCGTTGCAAGAGCCAGAAGGGCACACACAAGAATGGCAGCAGGCATATCTTGTAAATGTTTCCCTCTCTTTACCTCTTTTTTTAAAAAAGTTTATTTACTCCTTCGCCAGATGGGCGTACGTCTGTGTTTTTGTTTATCAATCCCTGGAAACGAGCGGAAGCAAGCAAACCAACAATAGTCATAACAGTGAGGAGGTGGAGGAGGCGGCAGTGGCAGTTATCATCCCTCCCCCCTCCGCTGGCCTCGCGCGGTCCCCCGATGGGCGTTGATTCATCGCGTGGAGCCAATAAGGAAGAAAAAAAAAAACTCTCCCTCACTCCCACGCACGATAAATGAAAACAGTAACGACAAAAAAGGCAACAAGATAAAAACGGCAAAAAACCAGCATGGGACTCAGTAGCAGAAACGCTTCAACCACATCGGCCGTCCAGGGCCGTCAGACACACCATTTTGGGTCCGCGCGGTAACGCCACGCACCACCGCCACAGCCTCCAGCGCCGGCACCGCCCCGTAGCGCACTGCATCCGGTGACGGTGACGGTGATAATGCCAAGACGGGTGGCGATGAGGCTACTCCTGCCGCTTCCACTGTGGGGGCGGCATGGACCGGGCTAGGGTGGAGTGGCATGCCGAGCACCCGATGGCCCTGCAGCTCCCGCTCCACAAACGGCCGAAGAATGTCCTTCACGCGGCCCCGCACGGCACGTTTCACCGTCGTGCGCACATGTTCACGGAGTTTTGCCTCCCACGACGAAAGCAACATGGCCTCCTCCTGCAACAAACGCCCTACCGCCTCCGCAGTGAGGGACGAAGTGGTGCCAAGGCGAGAGGCGGCCAGTGTGCTCAGTGCCGTTTGCAGCTCTTCAACGAGACTCTCGGCTTTATGAACAACACTGCGTACCTCTTCCTCGACTGTCCGGCGAATTCCCGCAACAGTGCGCGCGGTGTCGTTCTTCCACTCCTGTGATGCACGCTGAAAGGCGTCCTGCATCTCGTCCAGCAGGCGTTCTTTAAAGTTGAGCGCCTCCAGAAACTCTCCCGCGTCTGGCGTTGTGTTGACAGTTGAATTCCCTGCGGGAGCCACTTGTGCCAGCTGCATCTTCAGTGCCGCCGTCTCCCGCTCTGACTCTTGCCTCCACTGCGCGTGGGCCGCCTGCATGCGAGCAATGTCAGATTCGTACATGGTTCGTGTTTCGTCTAGTTCAGTCTGCAACCGTTGAATCGTGCGATCTCGCAACAACAGCTTCTCCTGCATCGTCGCGACGGTGTCCTGCATTCTAGCCGCCGCCGTCATTCCCCTCACCACCGCCTCGGTGTGCGGCTCAAACGAGGGCGCACCGTGCCCTGCAACAGCATCGGGGTAAGAAGAAGAAGGCTCTACTACGGTGCGCCCTTCTGGGCGCTGCTCCGGCAGTGTGCGGCGGGCCTCTAATGACTGTAGTGCCTGCTGAAACGCTCTCTGGGCCTTGAGTGAGTTCCGAAGGCGGTTTTCCTCCTCGCGGCTCAAGCGTGTCTGAAAATCCACAAGGGATTCTGCACCATCACGTCCCAAGGAGGTTCCCTCCTTCGCCGCCGCCTCCTTCAGCATGGGCGGTCGTGCGCTGCGGCCGCCCATGTACGGCTGGAGCACCGGATCGCTGCGGAGGCGCTGCAGCTCCGTGAGAAGGGCTTCTGTACTCCGTGGCTCGTCGCCATCACGAACCATCGCTGCAAGCGGCCGCGGCCGCGGCTGCAGAGAAGGGGGAGGAATGAGAGACTGTTTGCAGGAAATCAAATACATAAGGAAAAATCAAAAAAAAAAGACATAAAAGAGGAAAAAAAATAAATAAATAAAACACACGCAAAAAAAGTGGTGTGAATCGGCGCATGAGTGGGCCACCGTGCGTGCCTGTAGGTGTCCACTCACGGCGCGCAGGCATCGTACACACAGCAGAGGTAGGCGGACAGCTGCCGGGGAACAAAAAAAATGCAGGGAGAAATATGCGCCGCTTATCAAATTTGACTCTCCAGCAGTTAACACACACACACACATAGATACAGAAAGAAAGCATCCTTCGGCAGCACTATGCGTCTTCCTCTTTTTTTCCCTCTCTCTCCTATGTCTCTTCACAGGCAGAACATCCTGCCAGTTTTTTTTTTTTCTCCTTCTTCTTGTCTTTTAGTTTTGCTTTCGGTGGCAAAATGCGCCGCTAGTGGTGCTCCTCCTCCTCCGCATCCTCTGGAAGGGAGAAGTCACCGACGGGAGGCGGCAGGGCGTGTGGCCCCGGCGACGTCGGCACGTAGCTTGGGGAGTCCTCCCCCTGCTGCAGCCACGCCTGCGGGTCGACGCGTGAGGTGCTGGTGCGTGACGCCGCCACGGAGCGCCGTGCCGTGTACGCTGAGTAGGCGGGCGACAGCGTCGGCACGTACGACGCGGACTGCTGTGACTCCGAGTCACCGCTGCACTGGTACGGCTGCGCCGCCACACTCGACATGACGGAGGGCACGTATGCTGGGGAGAGGCCGCCGAGGCGACTGTTACCAAACGCCAGCTGCGGCTCGTGGTGCGGGGACGAGTGGACGGACGGCATTGCCATGCTGGACTGCAGGTGAAAGGAGGAGGCCTCGCTGTAGTCCATGCTGCCGGGCACCACCGAGGGGGCCTGCATGGAGGCCGGGTTGTACATGCTCGCCGACGGCATGACGCTGTACGGCTGCGAGGCACTTGGAACCCGCACCCGCGGCTCCCCCACGCCCATCGCGGGGTACGCCTGACTGAAGTGCGCCGCGCTCGCCTCATGCACCCCGCCGTAGAGCGTTGACGCGGTGAACGGCGCCGCCAAGGAGCTGCCACCGACGCCCTCACGGAAGAACATACTTGTGTCGTTCACAAAGGGTGTGGCCTCGTGGTGCTTTGCGTGGTGCGGCATGGACGACGGCAGGTTCTGGGTTGAGGCAAGGCCGTGGTAGACGTTCACGTCCTTGCCGGGAGCCACGGCATCCTCCTGCGGCACCGCCTGCTGCAACGCCGCCATGTTCAGCACGAGATCAAAGAGACCCGTGCCAATGCGGGCCTGGTTACCAAGCACAAGGTTCGCCGACACACCACGCACGGGATCCCGCTCACCAAATGCCGCGGCGGCCATAAGAACCTTCACGGTTTCCTCAAACGAGCAGCGCATCAGCGGCCCAGACGTCTCAGAGCGGTTAATACCAACGCGGGAAACGGCCATCAAATACCCCCGCTGGCATATCGTGTCCACCAGTATGGTGTAGTGCCGGTAGTTAATGTTAAGACCATAGGCAAGGTAAGCCTCCCGCAGCTCGTGCAACATCTTGTAGCGTGCCGCCTCAATGCCGAGCAAGCTGCAGACCTCAGGGACCTTGTTGCTATTCGTGCGGGTGGCGTTAATGATGTTATTGCCCTTCTCGTCCACTATGCCAATGAAAGTGCGGCGCAGTGCAGTTCCGTCCGTGTCAATCAACCACGTCTTCTCACCTGTCATCTTCCCTGTGGCGGGGTCCACGGTGAACGTCGTCCTGTCCTTTAACAGCGCCTTGCGTACGCCAGGGATACCGCGCAGATGCACACGCGCCAGCAACTCCGGGATGGCCTGCTTCAGCCGCGGAATGGAGTCGGCGCCGTCGTTCTTCTTGGGCCGCATGCGTATTGTGCGCTCCTTTGTATCATTTGCCATGCCTGTCTCTATCACGTAGCCGTCGTCCACGCGCAGGATCGCCTGCTTGACGTCCTTCATATTGAGCGCTTTATCGACAAACATGTCAGCGTCGAGTTCGAGTCTCGCAATCCATGGGGAGCCGTTCTCCACCTCCTGCAGCCGCACCCGCTCGTCGCTCTCGTCCATGACGCTCCACTCCAGCTCCAGGATGGCACGGTCCGCCTCCACCACCGTCTCCCGTGGGTCCGGGTCGTAGATGAACTGGATGCGCTTGGTGACGCTTTCCAAAGTGCAGTACTCGATGAGGTGCTGAGCCTGCTGCGCAGTGCGCTTCTTGTCCCAGGGCGGGTACAGAGCAACATTCATGCTCGCATGTTTCTGGTTCCGTGAGACGTTGAGCAGTTCAAGCAGTCGTGGAACGCCAAGCGTAACGTTTTTGGAGGAAATACCCGCATTGTGAAATGTGTTGAGTGTCATCTGCGTCGCCGGCTCCCCGCAGGACTGCGCCGCGATCGCCCCAATGTTCTCGCCAGGGGAGACGAGCGACTGTAGGTACTTGGTGCGTATCTCCTTAAGCAGGTACTCAAAGGCCTTATCGTTGAGTTTATACTCTTTCAGCACCCGCTTGGAGGCAAGCATCTGGCGCAGGTGAACGCCAAACAGTGTCAAGGCATTCTCAATCCGTTGCCGGCTGAGCACGTTGTAAATGCGGCCATCCACGCCCTTGTGGTAGCACGGGAACAGCTTCAGCATGTCCTCCTGCAGCTTTCGCACGTTGTCAATGATGGTGACGGGGCTGAGGTTAGAGACCTGACTGCGCTTGCCCATGGTACTCCGCGCGTTCTGGATGAGCCGGCCAATGTTGACGGGGAGGTTCAGCTTCAGCTTCTCCCGCTCCTCCAGGTCCATCATTCTGCGTGCCCAGTCGCGATCGGCCATAAGCTGATCAAACTCGCCCTGGAGCTTCCGCACGTTCTCTGGATCCGCGCGCAGCATTCGTTTCACGTGCGGGTCCATGTAGGTGCCACCCACCTTCTCGTTAAACGCACCCGTATCATCGTACTCGTACTTGTACGTGCCCTCCATCTCCTTGTTGTCCCGAAATGGCAGCGGAAACAACTGGCCACCCTCAATCCGAGCCCCGTCCAATCCGTCTTCGCCGTACATGAATTGAATGAGTTCCTGATTGGCGTTGCGCACAGTGCCGTCATAGGCGGCGTGAACGTCCTCGAGGGCCTTGATGAGTTTGCGCTGCAGGTACCCGGTGTCGGAGGTCTTGACAGCCGTGTCAATCAGCCCTTCTCGCCCTGCCATTGTGTGGAAGAAAAACTCGTGCGGCTTGAGCCCCTCCACGTACCCGCGGTTTGCCATGCCGCGCGAGGTCTCCCCGTAATCGTCCAGCATGAAGTGAGGCAGAGTGCGGCGGCGAAAGCCAAACGGGATACGGCTGCCCGCAACGTTCTGCTGGCCGACGAAGACGGCAATCTGGCAGATGTTGAGGTCCGTCCCTTTGCTGCCCGCCTCAATCATCACCTTGAAGCTGTTCGTGCGGCGCACGTTGCTCAGGGCCTTTTTAGCCGCCTCCTCACGGCACTTGTTCAGCGCGCTGTTCACGTCAGCCTCGAAGGACTGCAATAGCGTCATGCCGGCCTTCCGGTTGAGCGTGCGGTTGTTGGCCGCCGCCCCAATCTTCTCGACGTTCTCACGCGTCTTCACCAGCACCTCGTTCATCTGCCGCAGCGTGTCCGAGTCCGCGACGGTGTCCTGCACCCCGACACTGAAGCCAAAGTTGATGAGGAAAAAGGTTGTGATACGCTGCACCCCGTTGATGAAGCGTGCCACCTCGTCCGAGCCGCGTTCGTTAAAAATGACGTGGATGAGGGAGCCAGGAGCGGCACCGACGATGCCTTTCGTGATGGGCCCGCAGAGCAGCTGCCCGCGTCGGATCATGATGCTGGAGTCGTTGTGCGGGAAAGGCGGCCGGTCCTGCGGCGTCGCCGGGTGGTTCACCTCCGGAAGAATGAGGGAGAAGACTTGTTTGCCTGTCCACAGTGGGCGTGGCTTCAGTATGGCTGGCACAGGCAGCTGCCAGAGGTCTAACCAGAGCGCCACACTCTGCACAAAGTACTTGTCGAGGAAGGTGTCCTTGTCGGTGAGGCGGTAGCTGCCGAGGAGGCTGTCCTGCACAATGCCCATGCACGGGGCAGACTTGTTGGGGGACACGAAGTTCTTCGGCACCATCATCATCTCAATCAGCTCCGCCTTTGTGAGGAGGCTCTGCGGCGCATGCAGATTCATCTCGTCCCCGTCAAAGTCTGCATTGTACGGCGTCGTGCACGAGAGGTTGAGACGAAAGGTGTTGTAGTTCAACACTCGCACGCGGTGACCCATCATACTCATGCGGTGCAGCGTAGGCTGCCGGTTGAAAAGCACAACGTCGCCGTTGATGATGTGCCGCTCCACAACGTCGCCGATGTTGAGCGTCACCTTCGACCGGTCCCGCCGCAGCGCGAGTTTAGTGGTGGTGCCATTCGGGTGGTGAATGTAGTTGGCCGAGGGGTACACCGGCCGGCGCACGAACTCCGTCAGCCGCTTCTTGTTGACGGAGTTCACGCGCTCCGGGAAGGTCAGCGTCATGGCAACGGAGAAGGGCACACCCACCTCATCCACGTCGATGTTTGGATCGCCGGTAATGACGGTGCGGGCGGAAAAGTCCACGCGCTTCCCCATCAGGTTCCCGCGCAGGCGGCCGTACTTTCCCTTCAGACGCTCCGTCAGTGACTTGAGCTTCTTCGTATCGTTCACCTTCGTCGGCTTGTAGTACGTGGAAGCGTTGTTGAAGTACGTGGCCACGTGCTCCTGCAGCAACGCCCGGCTGCGGTCCACCGCCGCCTGCACGTCCGACTCCTTGTCCTTCCGCAGCTGATTGTTGCGCTTCACGATGGACATGATCTGGTGCGTGAGTTCGTCGTCGGACTTGAGGCTACCAAAGGAGATGGCAGGACGCACCTGCGGCGGGGGCACCGGAAGGACTGTCAGCACGAGATCGCGTGGGTGGCAGCGTAACGCGTCGAAGCCCATCAACCGCGCGTCCTCGTCGGAGATGCGGTCGAGCACCTGACGCGCGGTGTCGGCGTGCCACACCATGTCCTGTTCCTCCAGCGTTGCCTTGATGATAAGGGTGGGGTAGATGCCGAGGTAGCGGCCGATGCGGGGCTGCGTGGCACCGCACCCCCGCGCTGCAGCCGCCTCCTCAGGAGTGGCGGCGTCGGTTGACATGCGGCACTTCATGCCGCACATCTTTGCCACCTGCCGCAAGCGATTCACACCGGTGAGGTGCTGCAGCCGCGTGCGCATCTGCGGGTCGCTGGTATCCATGAGGAGGGCACCGCAGGACTTGCACACGCACTTCAGCACCTGCAGCACAATGTCAAAGGGTCCAATGTTAAAGACGGGCTCTGCGAGTTCAATGTAGCCAAAGTGACCCGGGCAGTCCGGATGCTTCCGGTGGCACGTCTCGCAGGCGAACTCAAAGTCGGTGGTTCCCATGCGAAGGTCATTGATGCCCCCACGCACAGGCTGGCCGCGTTCGTAGGACTTGGCGTGCTCCACGAGGCACACGGCGTAGTCTTTAATCTGCTTCTCCTTGAATATCTCAAACTGCACCTCTACAACCTTCTGCAGGTCCATCTGCGACGGCGGTAGTGGGGCCCCGCCGGACATTTTTTACGCTTCCACCACTCGCGTCGTGAGAGACTAGCAGCAGCAGCAGCAGCAGAGGAAGAAAAAGAGGAGGAAGAGGAGAACAGATGGGCAAGGCAGCAGGCAAATACACAGGCACAAAGGCCCCGAAAGAAAGACGTAGGCAAACTGCCAGTTCAGTGGAGTACGCAAACCCTTGGGGCGTGCAAGGCACGTGTGCGGAAAAACCTCGTAGCATGAAAACAGAGAGACGGAAGAAAAAAAAAGATAACAGTTCCATGGTGGTGGAGACAGGCGCATTTTGAAAAAAAAACAAGTAATTAATCCAACAAATAAAAAAAAAAGCGAACTGAAGGGGGAACGCTGCAACTACTCATCGTCACTGCACATCGGCACTTCCTCTACTTCCCTGCGCTCCCCTTCCCCGTCACTGCAGCCGCCGCCACATGTACCATCACCGTTGCAGGACCACAGCGCCAGCGCTACTTGTTATCCCATCTGCAAGCTGCGAGCCTCCCACGTGTGTTGGTGGTGGGAGGAAGACAGGAACAAAGGAATACATTTCTATGCGGGCACGCAGCGAGAAAGAGGGAGAAAAAAATACGGGCAAAAAAGGAACGCCTCCACACACTTCAGGATAAGGCGTGGCGGCACACAGACATGATGACGGCGCTCACCGCCACCGATGCTGCCGCATAAATGTACGCCGACCGACGATGGCCAAGACTATACATTGCGACGATCTCGTTGATAAATGAGGATACAGTCGAGAGCGACCCGCAGAGCCCATTCATCACAATTTTGCACCAAACGTTGCCTTCATGTCGGAAGTGGTAGTCTGTAATCCCCATCAGCAACACCGCGATGAAGTTAGCGGTAAACGTGCCGACCGGCAACCGCCAAAAGCGACCCGTTCCGTTCAGCAGGTGGCCCAGCGCGTAACGTGGTACGGCGCCGAGCGGGGCGATGATAACGGAGCGACGGTCGATGAGGCTCACGTCCAACAGGCCACGACGCACAGCCACCTCAACCGCGATGGGAATCCCCACCGCCATCACAACTGAGAGGACAAGAAAAACAATGTTGGCGAGGTGCAGTTGCCTCCTGCTGTGCTCGACAAGGCTGTTGCTGGTACTCAGACTGACTCTACGCCTCCGCGTCAACCCCGTAACTGCTCGCAGCATAGAGACAGTGTCATGGCCCCAAAGAAGGAAGACAAAGGGGATTGTCAGGCCGGAGAGGAGCTCACCAAAGTCGAGGGCGGCGGTATCACGCCCCACCGTGTCCAGCATCCAGCTAGAGAAGGTTGTCAAGGAGCCGCAAAAGCCAGTCAGGAGGCTGCGAAAGATCCATGGAAAGGTTTTACTTTGCGTCTGGATGCTTGCCGTTGCCTCAATGAAACCCATCAGAAAGCAGCCAATACAATTTGCGCCGAAGGTGGTGTACGTCGTTAGGAAGCCGTGACGTGGCAGGCACCGCCCTATCTTTAGCCGCAACGCTGTTCCTGCAAGTGACCAGCACGCCACACCAATAACCGCCGCCACATGGGTCACTCGTCCATCGTCCAGGATGCTCTTCGGAGGCATCGAGGGCACATCTGGCACTGTGCCGCCCTGTTGTACGGATGGGGCCGGGAACGCTATGGGCTCCGCCTCAAGCTCCCTCGTCTCCGCCTCCTCCTCCGCGTGCAACTCTGACGCATTTTCTTCCACCTCAAACGGAGGCAAAGGCCTCGGGACAAAATACATTCTACCTGTGCTGCATGTGTTTTACGTCAAGCAACGCAGGGAACAACAATAACAGAAAGTGCTGCAGGTGCAAAGCGAGCCACCCCATACCTGCCCACACACGCTGTGGGACGCCGTGACGCAAATAGAAGGTGGAAGGGGCGGCAACAACATTTGTGACAGCAACAAAAGCCGTCAGTAGGTGGAAAGTAAAGACGTACAATTCAGATATCAGTGGGTATTCCACGACGGCAGCACACGGCTACGCAGCAGTTTCTCCACCCCCTCGCACACCTCAGCAGGCGACATGGTTCCCACAAATACGGCGTACACCTCTACCACACGGTCCCCCGTCGGTGCGTCGCACGTGAAATCCGGCAGTAGCATCGGGCGCAGCACCAGGTGCGGTAGAACAGCAGCGGGGAGACTCCCGCGTGGGTTGAGGGAACCCAAAATAGACTCCGTGCCTCTTGTCGACGTCCCATACCCTTCCAGTGGCGCTGGCTGCGGGGACGACGAGGATGACATTGCCGTGGCCGCCGCTGCGGGTGGCGCTGGTGGTGCGGATTCACCACCGAAGAAAAAAAACGACTTCTTCCTCCTTCTGGTGTGCGGAGTCGGCGGAGCGTGGGATGGCGGTGGCACCTCCTTTGTGGCGGCCCTGTGCAGGTTGCAGACGCAGTAAAAGAACTGCATCCCGAGGTGGCCCCACAACCCTTCCGAATATCCGGCCTGCATCAGTGCGTGGGAGCGGCTGACGTTCAGCGCAACAAGTCGCCGTAGCGTCTCCACCGCATTTTGCACATGTGCGGGCTGCTCGTGCATCATGCGGTGGAAGCTGGCAACGACACCCTTGTTTGTTCGGCGGTCGACGGCGACAAAGTGAATCAACCCAGGGATCTCGTACGACTCCACCGGAGGGGAGAGTAGCCACTGAACGCAGTTAAAGCTAGTCTCAACGCTGCCGAGGATGTCGCGCGTGAGCTGCGACAACGCACGCCTGTTTGCCATGGTGGGGGAATGAGGCTGCCGCTGCCCCTCCTCACGCACCCGCTGCGGTGGAAGGTACAGCAAACACACGCCGTAGCCACAGGGGCAGGTTTCCAGAAGGGGTCCCTCGCCCGCGGCGTCGCTGCTGTCCTGCGGCAGTGCGGCCCCCGCCGAGATCCACTGCAGCTGCATGGCACCAACCACGTCGGAGTTGCGGAGGCAGATGTTGTCAAGCTGAAAGGTCCGGCCCTCAATGGCGTCGAAGTCCATGTCCACATGGTGGTACTCATTGCGAGCCACACGTGGACGACCTTCAGCCGCGGCCTCGTCGGTTCCCCGCGCAGCGTTCCGTCCCGTCATGAGTGCCAGCAGCTCGTCGTAGGCAGCTTCAAAAAACGACGCCCGGGAATACTCACCGACGGTCCCTTGTCGCAGCGCCTCGGTGTACGTCTGGATGACCCGCCGCGCCGCCTGACGGCTCACATTGTGGCGATGAATGCCAAACCGCCGCAGTCGCCGCTCAAGCTCGCGCAGCCGCCGCTCCCGCGGCGAGACGTCGTAGCAGCTATACTGCATTGGCGCGGAGAAGAAGGCGCAGGTCACAATGTACGCCAAGTACCGATCCGAGTCAAGCAACGACACTCGTTCAACACCACCAGCTCTCGCCGCCTCCTCGCTCCACCGCGGGGTGGTCTCCAGCACAAGCTTGTGGCCAAGCAGCACAGCAATGTAGCTCGGTGGCTGGCAGCCGGCCGCATCCTGTAGGAGAGACTGACGCGCCAAATCGTCTAAGAGACCACCGGCATCGGGGCTCGCAAAACCCGTTGCGATGATGGCCGGACGCACAAGCCGTTCAGTCGTCTGGCACAGAAGCGAGACGTCGTGTAGCCCGAGACGAGACTCCAGGTAAAGCAGTGTCTGCTTCAGCACAGGGGCGTTGGGGCCGCCCCGGCGCGGGTCAATGTTGAGGAAAAGGCACAGCTCACCCACGAGCGCCGCCACGCGCAGCAGCGTCGCAGCACTGTAGCCGTCGTCGCTTCCGACAACGACGACGAGCGTATTCAACGCCTCCGCATGGGCGTTATCTTCCTCGGCGTCCTGCAGCGGATAACGATAGATAGATGCGTGCTGGCACGGTGAAAACGGTGACGCGTCGGCGGATGCGTTTTCCCCCCGCTTAGACTCGCCCATGCACTGCAGCATGTCGTCGAGCGCACCAACCCGCAGGATCGCCACCGCCGCTTTGCCCAGCGTGAGCGATCGAGCCCGCAGCCGTCCACGGCTGTTTTCTAACAGCTGCACGGTAAATCCATGCAGCTCCCCGGAGGCGCCCACCCCCACGGAGAAGGAGCCGGGCGACGAGACCGATAAGTACCGCATCACTTTCTTTGTGTCTTTTCTCTCTTTGCCGCCTCCTCTCCACTCCGCTGCAGCCCTGCTGGGGGAATCACGCGCACACGCACGCACGAACGCATAGGGAAAGGGAGAGAAGGATGGGGGTGCAGCTATGGGCGGCCAAAAATGAGGGAAAGACCCGAAGGCAACCGACGGCCAACACCCCTTTGAAAAAAGGAAACAAAAAACAAAAGACACGCAACAACAACAAACAGGTGCGTAGCGAAGAAGACAGTGTTTTTACTTAAAACTGTTTAACAAATTGATGCAGCAGTGACAACACGTAGTTGGTGGAAATTAAGTGGGTCGCGGAAAGGGAGGCGAGCAGATACATGACACCCGAACGCCTCCTAAAGCCCCTTCTCCCCCCACTCCCAAGGCAGCTAAGCGGAAGCAGCGACGCAGCAACACTACAAATAAAGACGGCATCACACACACATAAACAAACCGATACAAAACGAGGAAAACAGAAAAAAAACAAAAACAAAAAAAAGAGGCCTGTAACGTGTCTCATTTTTTTTTGTCCTCTCTGCTCTTCCTTTGCGTCTTGTTTTCGTTCGTCTCGCTTCGTCCCCCGCAGCTCAGAAGGAGTACCGAAGCATGGTGTTGGTGGGCTCAATCTGCGCAAAGCTGCAGGTGAGGTTTTCATCGACGATCATGAAGGCACCAGCGTTGTCAAACTCGCCGCAGTAGTTGGGGGCCGAAAACACCGTGACGAGGCGGCGGGCGGCGAAGAACTCGTAGCCGGCATCCACCACCTGGTGGGCTCGGCATATAAGATCGAGGTCAAACTCTTTTAATGTCTTCTGCACAATGTCGTGGCCAAACGTCCATGAGACGCCGCGGTCGTTTTCGCCCCAGCCGTTGCAGTCGCCCGGATCGGCCCAGAGAAGGTCGCAGATGAGGCCGCTGTCGGGCACGTCGGTTGGACGCAGAATACAACGAATTTGGTCCAGGTGCTTCAGCTCCGGGCTCAAGCCGCCGTGCATGCATAAAATACGCTCCTCAACTAGTGCAGCCACCGGCATGCAGTTAAACGTGTCCGTGAACTGCTTCCACAGCCGCACGCTGTAGCGTCGCTTGCACTCATCAAAGAAGCCATAGATGCGGTTGATGCTGCTAGACTCATGGTTGCCGCGGAGCAAAAAAAAGGATTCTGGGAAACGCAGTTTGTACGCCAGCAAGAGACAAATGGTTTCAAGGGACTGGTCGCCCCGGTCCACGTAATCACCGAGGAAAAGGTAGTTGGCCTCCGGTGGATAGCCGCCAAGGTCAAAGAGACGTAGCAGGTCGTGGTACTGCCCATGCACATCCCCACAAATGCGGACCGGCGCCACCACCTCCAGAAGCATAGGCTGTGACATGAACATCATACGTGACTCCATGACAAGGTAACGCACCTCAGCCTCTGACAATTTCTTCTGAGATGTCAGGGCGTTTGGACTCCATGATGAATCCATCGCCTGTGTTTGCCTAAAGGCACTAAGGCGCGACTGACGAGTGTATTTGCGTTCATGCTCAAGAGACACCTCGGAAGCCACGGCAGCAGCGCTATTATGAAAGGGGTGCATCAACAGCCGCCCGATAATGTCGTCTAGATTCATCGCTATCCCATGCTCTTTTGTCATTTCAATGTGTCTCCCTTTTCCTCACACCCCGGTGAACCCCTAAGTTCGATCTTTTACGCACACACACACACACACTTGCTCTCGCTCGCTGGTGCGCGGTGTGTCGTGTTTGTTCCCTCACGCCTCACCCCCTTCCCTCGCCGTGTTGAGCTCTTCCTTGGCTTGGTGATTTGCCCAGTTGTTTCCTTTTCTTTCTCCCCCCTTTCTTTCAGCTCTAACAACTCCTCCTCCCCCTTGCGGCGTTTCGGTGGCGCAGTCAGTGGTACAGGCAGCGCAAGAACCAGAAGCTCCTCCTCTCCCCACTGCAGTAAAAGGTGCAGTAAAAGGGGACGTCTATACGCCGCGGTATACGTGGAAGACCTGTCGCCGCACTACTCACCTCCGCCCTTCCTGCGGCCAGCCGAGATACGCCCGTGCACCCTCCACGTTTCCCTCCTCCTCTCTCTCTGTTTGTGTGTGAGGTGCGTGAGCGGCAGTTTTTCCGTGTGCAACAAGACAAAAAGGGAAAAGAGAAGGCGAAAATGAGTGTTGACGGTGAGTGAGTGAGTGAGTGAGTGGTAGTGGCAAAGAGATGCACACGGCGTGTGCGAGAGAAGCGGAGAGGATGAAATATATATATATATATAGAGAGAGAGAGACGGGAGTGGCGTGGGCTCGCACGCACAGGATATGAAATAATAATAAAAAAAACAATCACACAACACACTGCAACTAGCAGGCGAGGGAGAAGCATCACGTTGAGGTTGAGGTGGCAGAATAGTAGTTGCGATCAGTGGAGGCCCTTTTACCTGCGCCGCCCGCCCGCTCCTCTAAGAGGTCATTAATGACGCCAAGGTGCATCTTCGCCATATCCACCTCGTCGGAGTGCAGAGCCGACGCCTCGTCGTCAAACTCCCCAATGTACTCGCGCCCACGGCTGAAGTGCGGCGGGTGCCACACCTTCAGTGTCGCGTCTGGGGTGGTGTTGGGCTTCAACGAGGAGCGGCCGAGAATCATGCAGATGCATTCAACGAAGCCCTGCACCACGGACGGGTAGGATGCGGTCAAGTTCAGCAGCTCATACACCGAGTCCGAACGCAAGATGGAGAGCGACGCCACCTCAATGATGCTGCCTGCGTGTGGGCCGAAGGCGCGAACACCGAGCAGCCGCTTCTCCCTGTCATTTGTTACTATGACCTTGCAGAATCCTGTTGTGTTGCCCATGGCAAGGGCGCGGCTCAGGTGTCCGTAGCCGTAGTGCGCCACGATATAGCCCATACCAGAGGCGCGGCACTGCTGCTCGTTGAGTCCCACACGCGCCAACTCCTCGCCCAGAAACAATATGGTTGACAGGTTCTTCAGCTCCTTAGCGTTGACGGGCCTCGCTGGCTTCTCACTGTAGATGTGGTCAATGGAGCCGCGACCCTGCGCCTCCGCCAGGTTCACAAGTGACCGGCGATCACAGACGTCACCTATGGCGTAAATGTGTTTGTGGGGCAGGCACCGGTTAAAGGCGTCCACGCCCAGCCGTCCATCCGTCACTTTACATAATGTGTTCTCCAGACCAAGCCCTACAATATTTGGTACACGACCCACGCAGATTAGCGCACGCTCCGCCTCGTGGGTCTCCACATGCTTTGCAACGCCCGCCTCAGACTGCCGAATGCTGTAGATGCAGCCCCCCACCTCCCCTTTGTCGCCCCACGACTCCAGGTCGAAAAGGGTGCAGTTGTGGTAAATCGTCACGCCAAGCCGTACGAGTTGGTCCTCCACGTACTGCGAGATGTCCTCGTCTTCCATCGGCAAGATACGCGGGGTGTGATCAAGGAGGGACACCTTGGTGCGACCCAGGCGAGCGAAGATGCTGGCAAACTCACAGCCGACCGCCCCAGCACCAACAATCACAAGGCTTGAGGGAATCGGAAGCCGCATGATGGTGTCCGTCGTCACAATACGCTTACCGTCCACAGTGATGTGAAAGTACTTGTGCGGCACCCCACCAGTAGCGACAATGAAGTAGTCCGCGTGGATCACATTGTACTCACCGGTTGCGGTGCTGTGCACATCCAACTCATGTGGGGAGGAGAATATCCCCTTGCCGAACACAAGTGTCACCCCGGCGCTGCGTAAACCCCCCACCACCTGCTGCTCCCGAACTTCACTAACACTCTGCAACGTCTGCTGCACCCGTGCGTCGCTGATTTTGCCCTGCAAACCTTGGACAACGTCGTCGTCAAACATGCGCCGCGCCACCGGCGCCGAGAGAAACGAGGTGTACTTGGACATCTCCCAAAGCGTCTGCGACTGCAGCGTGCCATCCCAGAGGTCGGCGCCACCGATGCGTTTGGCCTCGACAAGGCAGACACGTTTGTTGTAGTCGACGGCACGCAGCGCAGCGGCAACACCGCCGGGACCGCCACCAATGACGCAGACGTCAAAGTGAGGCAATTTGGATGTGATCCGTGTCACCTCGACGGGCCCTACGCGCCACGCCCACGATCTCCGCAGCATCGCACGGCAACACGGAAGGGGGGCGGGAGAAGGGGGAAAAAGGTCGTTTGTCTTCTTATTTACCTTTTTTTTTGCTTTGTTTTATTGCGCTTTTATGTGGATCCTACTTTGCTGTACGGCTGTAGCTTCGGATGGGGCCCAGCCAAGACGGACCACAAAGAGTCCACTGAAGCAAGTGAGGCGTGTGGTGCGTGTGAACACCAATTGAAACAGCAGTGAAACAACAACAAACAGAGATGAAAGTGAGGAAGGGAAACGCCACCACACGCAGAGAGGGCAACAAAGGAAGGGAGAAAGAGAGAAGGAGTGTGGGAAGCGGGGAGGGCAAAGCAGGCGCGTAGGACATTTAGATGTGCTCATGTTGATCTTTTGCACCACATGTACGCTCACCATTGTGCCTGCGCACCGCCCCACGCAACACCCGCCAGACTTCGTTTGTGCGCCTCGCCTTCAAAAATGTCCAAGGGAAAAGAAGAAAGAGCCGGGGTGAAGGGGACCGCCGTCGGAGGCAGGTGCGTCAATGGACGCCTTTTCTGCACGGGCGACAGCGCCACGCTCCACTGCCTCTGCCACCTTCTTCGCCGCTCGAAGCTCCGCTGTTGAAAAGTAGGAGGCCCTTTCACGGAAGCAACGCTTCTCCTCCAGCATGTTCCTCCCTTCATACGGGGCCGCCGGACACTCGGCGAGCACATTATCCGTCCCCGACGCGGAGGCGTAGGCCCGACCGCGTTCGTAGTCGGGCGGTGTCCATTCGTAGCAGATAAGGCCAGGAAAGGAGCCCGGCTTCAGCGTGGAGGAGTCCAAGATGACGCAGAGGCACTCCAGGAAGGCCTGTGACACGGACGGGTACGCTGTGAGAAGTTTGCTCAGCTCATATGCCGACTGCTTGCGCCGAATCGCCGCCGCAGCAAGTTCGATAATGGCGCTCGCGTTCATCCCTAACACCCGAACGCCCAGCAACATCTTTTTGCTATCATTTGTGGTAATAATCTTCACAAAGCCGTTGGTGTTGTCGGCGGCGATGGTGCGGCTGCAGAGCTCAAGCCCGTACCGCGCCATCCTGTATGATATATTCTTCTTTCGGCACTGTTTCTCATTCATGCCCACCGAGGCCACGGTGATGCCCATAAAGATGAGTCGCGTGAAGTCATGCTGCAGCGGCACCGTGGGCTGTACGCCAAAGATGTGATCCACCACAAGGCGCCCCTTCGTCTCACCAACACTCACCAGTTTGGAGTCGTTTGCCGCGTCCCCAACGGCGTAGATATGATCGTGGTCGGCGCACTTGCCAAATGGGTCGAGCACAAGGGCGCCCTCCCGCACCCTGCACTTCGCATTCTGCAGGCCGAGGCCCTTGTAATTCGGCGCCCGCCCAATGGCGATGAGGGCCCGCTCCACCTCGTACGTCGCAATCTCCCGCGTGCGTTTGTTCATGATGCTGTAGCGAACCCCGCCGCGCCGTGCAGGGTCCTCCGGGTGCGCCTGCATCTCCGCGTCCGTCTCCTCCCAGGTCCGCATGTGGTACAGCACGGAGTCCCGGTGAATCACCACCCCGTCGGCCTCCATCGCTTGCTGTATTTTTTCCACAATGTCATCGTCCTCCCCCGGCAGGATGCACCGCTCCTTGTCGATGAGGTACACCTTCGTCTTGCCGAGTCGGGCGTAGATCGCGGCAAACTCGCTGCCGAGCACGCCGGCGCCGACGATCACCATACTCTTCGGCAGCGGCATCATCATCAGCTCATCCGACGTCACCACATGCTTGCGGTCTGTCTGCACGTACGGGTGCTCGTTCGGTGTGGAGCCCGTAGCGATGATGAAGTAGTCCGCCGTGACAGTGCGGTACTCCTTTGTCTCCCGGTTGCGCACCTCCACCTCGTGCGGACTAATAAAGAAGGCCCCACCGTACAACACCGACACCTGTGCCGTCCGAAGTACCTCGAGGATCTGCTGCTCGCGGATCTCGCTGCCACGCACAAGGGACTCACGCATCTTCTTCTCGTCCGGCTCCATGAAGCTCGAGATGGTGGTTTTGTACACCCGCAGCGCAGCGCTGCCGTTCGCCTTGGCAAAAAAGTTTGACATTTCCCACATCATCTTCGACTGCAGCGCGCCGTTCCACAAGTCGCAGCCGCCCACGCGTTTCGCCTCGATGAGGCAGACGCGTTTCTTGTAGTTGACGGCACGAAGGGCGGAGGCGATGCCGGCGGGACCGGCGCCAATGACGCAGACGTCGAAGTGTGACACGTCCAGCGGCCGCCACCGCACCAACGGCGGCTTCCCACCCCACAACAGCAGGGTCCGTCGCAGCATGAACCCTACGTCGTTAATCTCACCAACACGCACAAACACGCGGAGAGCCGCTGAGACGCACGGTGACCAATGTCGTTATATATATATATATATAGACACCGACCTATACCGGCTTCTGCGCACGCAAGCGCCCTCAATGCAGGCTGGTGTGGAATCAAATTCTCCCCACAACTGTTTTCTTTGGACGCCGCAGCGTCCACTATTGAGTGCACAGGTGTTTCTGCCTTGCAGACGAGTGGGAGACGCATGCAAGGGCGAAATGCAGCCGCGATGAACATAGACCCACCACACACACACACCACCAAGGGGTGGGAAAAAAAAACAGATTCAAAAAAAAAAACGTTTTTGCGATCACCAGAATCGTTGCGGGGTTGCAAAAGAGGCAGCCTTTGGGCCCTGTAACTGCCGGCCGCCCCCACGTGCGGAGTGGCGGTGGGTTATTGGGGCGGAGAGAGGAGCAAACAAGCGAAAAATAAGGGGGAGTGGACCCCACGCGGCGAGGACAAAAGGGCCGGGAGCAATCCAAATCCAAAATAAATAGCAAAAACGAATAATAAAGAGGTAAAAGTAACGATTTCAAAAAATATTAGCTGCACCTCCCCACAGTTGAGTCACGGTCCGTGTATGTGTGCGTCTCTCTTTCTCTCTCTCTCTCTCTATCCCTCTGTGGGCACTGAATTTTGCGGCGTTGGGGGTTGACGCGCCGCCAACTCAATAAAAGAGGGGAAGTGGCACGGTGCGAAAAGGAGGAGGAGTGGATGTTTTTTTTTTTGCCTTCGTGTTTTGACATAACAGTTTTTCCTTGTTTCCCTCGAGGCCCAAAGTCACTAGAAAAACACCCTTCGTTTCAGTTTGTATCCCCGTCTGCACCCTGCACACAAGTATAAATCTGCCCTTCTCTCCCGCCTTCAATGGTAAGTCATGTGCCGCGGTGTGTGGCCACCGCAGTCCTCCTCACAGAGAAAAAAGACCTGGCCATGAAGAGGGCAGCACGGCGAAGGCAGTGGGACCACGAGGGAGGAAGGAGGAACATAAGTCATTGCTTGGGGGTTATTGTACGAACAGCCGAAGTGAAGCGAGGCCGGTTGCGCAACCCCCCGCCTTGACGCGGCGTCGCTCCTCCAGCGTTGTGCGGCTGAACCGACGGAACGACACATGAACGTACACGCTGGAGAGTAAGGCGGTGCAGTTGATGCCCAGCATCAACAACAGCGGCATCAAAACGCAGCGACGTCTGTGGCAAACTGTGATGCAAAACTTCTCCGCCCTACGGCTCTACCACTCGCCGTAGGCAAATCGGTTCAACAGAATCGTCGCAAACACCGTTGACAGGAAACAAACGCTGTAGTGCTTGGCGCCGTCCTTGGCGCAGATGGTGCGCATCGCCAAAACGATCACGCCGGCACGCGTCCCGTTGGACAGTGCACCCAAAACGTACGACAGTGGGAGGGAGGCATTTGGCACGGCGAGGATGAGCACCAGCGCCACGACCAACGCCGGAGGTTGGAATGAAGAGGGCCATTGCCACGGGAATGCAGTCCTCCGGCGTCTTCATCTGTGACCACATTTCAAAGCCGCTCCTCATTAAACAGCCAACCGCACTGCCAACGCCGCCCATCACCATCACCAGCGTTCTTAACGATGGAGAAACCTCCTCACCGGAGAGGGCGGCAAAAAATGTAACTCGCGCTGAGCATCAGGAGAGTCTGCGCACCCACCATGGCAAACAAAGGCCGTAGCACGGCCCACAGCCTCAGCGTGCAGGCACTTTACAGGAAGACCGTCTGGTACTGCGGTGCAATGTAATCCACGTCGGTCTCCGCACACGCTGGGCCTGCTCCTTTGCACCGCCGCTCTCCTTCACTGCTGCGAGTGGCTCGTTGCATTGCCTCTTTTTTGTGGGGTGCGGTATCGGCACCTCAGTAGCCTGGCGCCGCTGGCGTGACCTCCCTCCCTGTCGAGGATCTTCCGTGGAGACGGCACGATTGCGCAATTCAAAACGACCAACGCAATAGTGATGACTGCAAACGCCACTCTGTGGCGCTGTCCAATACCGTAGGAGACCACAAGCGCCCCTTGCAGCGGCATAAACACAATGAACACAGGCACGAAGAAGAGCCCAACCACAAAGCGGGGAGTAGGAGTCTTCTGGCGCAGATACTGTGCCTGGGTGGTGAGGCGGCCCTGCTTCTCTTCCTCGCTCAAGTGTGACTGCTGGTAGCCGGTCAGGTGGTAGGGCGGCAGGCGAATGACAAGCATGTATGCCACGGCAATCACCATCACGAGCGCCACCAGAAAGTAGAAGAAGTGGTCCAGGTGCTTATTAAAGAAGGCGAGCCGAATTGCAGCGAAAATTGGGAAACCCAACACATTGAATGCCTTCGCAGTCGCCACACTGGCGCCCCGGTTGAATGAAAATATGCTGAGCATCGTCCCTTGAATGCCAAAATCAAACATGGTGGTGCCCATGTTTGGGATGGCGTTGAAAGCACTGAAGCACAGCACCGTGGCGTCGATATACCCATAGAACGTCAACGCCACCAGAAGGGCACTGAGGGGAAAGAACAGCGCCACGATTCCCAAGAAGGGTACGGAGCCAGCGTCATCGTACACAAAACCAGTACGGAAACGTAAAATAGCAGAAGACGGCGCCCACTGTGTCAACGATTGACAGGTCTCGGTAGGTGAGGTTGTACCTCTTCTCAAGCTCTCCACCGAAGAGGCCAAAAAGGTACGCAAAGGAGGCCGCAATGCCACCGAATACGGCCACCACCACGATGATGAACCACCTCACCTCGCACAGCGGCGCAAAATTGTCACGGAATGCTTCCACTTATCACCGCACCGGCCACGTTTTCGGGTCTGGGGCGCCCGTCCTTCGCCTCATTCGGAGTCCCTGGAGGCGCTTTGTCCACGCTTCTCATAGTGGGCTGCGGGAGAAGGCAATAAGGTCAAAGCGGCCTAGAAGAGTGGGGCAGAACAGAAAAGTGGGGACGAGGGGAAAAAAGTTGCAGAATGACGCGTAACGGCAACAGTGCGCGGCCACAAAGAGAGAAAGAAAGAGGAGAGAGAGAGAGGCGCAAGCAGGTGGACGTACAAGCACGGACATGTAGTTGGTTAAATGGCGAAAGGCTGTAGCCGCCGCCAGGCGGTGGCGCTAAACGAGCAGAATCCCGTCCTCAGCGGACCAGCCGCTTGGCAGATGCCTCGGCTGCATCCCCCGCAGGAAGGCGGTGCGCCAGCGGTAAATAAACTCCCCCACAGCGTGGTCCCGGCCCTTGCAGTCGTGTTCCTCGTACTTCTGCAGTACTGCCTGGACTACTAAAAAGCCATGGCTGTCCACAGCAAAGTTGTCCTCCTCTTTCTCTCCATGCTCCAGCGGCTTTGGCAAACTTGCGTCGTCGCGGTGTTCACCACGACGTGTCATGGGGCCGAACAACTCACGGACCTTTGGGTGTTCGCGCAGCCAGAAGCGCGTCAACACAACGCGGGGCGACACCCCCTCCTCAAGGATGCATCGGACTGACGCCTCTGACGCCGCATCAGCTGTGAAGAGCGCTACTTGCTCTGCCGCACACCTCGCGAAAGGGTACCGTTCAGCGTGCTGGCGGATGTACGCTGACAGCTGTCTCAAACGCTCTGGCGGGATCGCCGATGGCTTCACAGACGTTTGCTTCACCGCCACAAAACCGTTTTCCGCTCTTCTCTCCTCCTTAGCCCCTTTGCGCTCCTCGTGAGCGAGGTACAGGACTTTGGCGTATTTGAAGATGTTGAAAAGCACCTCACGATGCTCCTCAATGTCAAGGTACGCCTGCATAATGCGCAGCTTGTGAGCCGGCAAAAGGAATTCCTCTGCGTCACGGGCTGCTATGCTTCCGCTGCTGCTGCTGCCATTACAACCCCCAGCACTGCCACAACAACCATTCGTGGTAGTTGACATCAGCTGCTGCAGCTGTGCACGGCGCAATTGCAACTCCCTCTGTGTGAGGTGGCCCAGAGGCACACCAAAATCCACCGCCACGCGCTGTCGCTCCTCTTCGTAGAGCCGTCGGGTCACAGCAAAGCACGCCGTACAAAGAAGCAAAAGGTCGTAGCTATTGTGACTCATGTAGACGCTGGGGAAGTATTTCCTGTAGGCCAGAGGCACAACGGCAAACCGCACCAAATCCTGAGCGTTCCCACACACCACGCACTGGTTCTCCTTCGCCTGGCGGAAGTAGTCCAAGTTGCGCTGAAGGTGGGCGTCGTTGTGCATGGAGAAGTTGGGAGTAAAGTTGAGTTGAATGGCGGCGATGGGTTTCTGCGGCTCCGGAGTCGCCTCGTCAGATGTGTTTCCCCACGCAATCACCTTTGCAATGCCCTTCTTGTGCACGTACCACTCCGCCTTGGCCTTATCCACGGTGAAGACAAGGCGCATCTCCGCATCGTACACAAATATGTTATCGTAGTACGGCTTGGTGCGACCCTTGCACCACAACGCGGCACGACGGCAGTCCGCCGCAGGCTTCGCCAACTGAGCCTTCCGAGACGTCTTTGCCTTCACCTCGGCCACAGTCCGCAGGATCGATTTCACGGTCCACACCGCACTCCGCGTCTCACTGACATCATCCGAGTCGTCGTTGTCGCCGGCAACGAGGGTGGACTCCCCACACATGCCCAAACAGGCGTCAAAGGATGCCTCCGCGTCCGCCGCGGCGTACTGCACTTGAAGCGGAGAGAGCGGCCCGAGGCGGCTGCCCCAGTCGCTACGCGTCACGAGGATATCTTTCTTGAGGTTTGTGCCAGCAAAGCGAGCGGCGAGGTCCTTTAGGCTGCGCAGTCGCATCACCTCCTCACTTGCAGGGAAAAGTTGTCGGGCCAGCACGGCCAGCTCAACGCAGGGAGAAAGCCGCAACACGGCGTAGTCACGCTGGAGCTTCTCCTGGTCGCCAAGGATACCCACACCCACCTTCGCCACATGTTTGTTTCCCAGGAGGGAGCGCAAGTTGTCCATGACGACGCCCAGCGGCGAGGACGCGGCAGCGGTGGCGGCCTCAGAGACACCCTTGCGATCCTCATCATGCACCATGCGAGCGAGATCGGACAGCTTGATTACGAAGGTGGCGGAAAATGTGCTCAGCTGCACCACCGCCACAGGCCCCACGGTGCCTCCGCGTCTCTTGCAGCCCCTGCCCTCCGCGTCGGCGGCACCGTCGCTATTGTTCTTCTCCTCCTCCACCTCCTCTGGGGCGGGTTTGAGCCCCGACGTCCACTCCAAATCCAACCCAATAAAGCCGCAGCACATTGCCTCATCTTGCAGCTGTTTCCATGATGTGTTATAGTGCGCTTCGTCCACCGGTGCCCAGGCGGGATCCACCACAATGACTCGTCGCGACATTGCTGGCCGTACGGTTCCTTTTCCTCTCCCTTGCACCGCCAACGAGGAAGCAAAGCAGACAGAGTGATGAAGGAATAATGGCACGATAAAGTTGGAAGAGCTCCTCCAAAGCCTCACCAGTGCAGAAAGCCGCTGGAATAGAAAGACAGATTGCATGCACAGGACACACTTCCATCACAAGTGAAAACCACCGTGCACGTGCGAGAGAGAGAGAGGGCGAGGGCGAGCAAGAGGCACATAAAACGAATAACACTCACGCCCTTCACGACAGCACAAGGCACACGGCAAGAAAAAAACTGTGATCACAAAATCCGTCGTGCTCATAGTAAATAACAAAAATTACAATGGTAGTAACAACAACAAAAAGAAGGAACGACCACAAGGCAGGAGGGAAGTGTGTGTGTGTGTGTGGAGGGATAAAAATAATGCTTTCTACTTTGTGTGGTTGGAAGAACATTGCACAAATACACATACACCCACACACCCACAGCGGACCCCGGCCACAGATGGAGGGCAGCTCAAGTGGCGTAGCCGCCGGGGGCTTAAGGGAGTTTCTGCTAACACTCAAACGCATCAGCGACCACACGCACATAAAAATTCCGACTCGGCGACACAAACATACAACAACAAAAACATATTTATATTACATACGCCATGCGTCCACAAAAAAAAAAGGTTCATGTTAACCTCAGGCAGCTTACATGTCCCGCAGCCTGCCCACCTCCCGTGGACATGGTAAGGCGCTTTCCGCGGAACTTGTTGCCTCGACGAGCTCTGGTTGCAGAAGCTCATCGCCGCTAACAAAGCACGGCACTAAAGAAGTGTCCACAATTATTGGCGTCAGCGTGAGGGCCGACGTTGCGGGCGGTTCTCGCCAACGCCCTTAGCTGCGGAGGAAAGGGCGCCAAGAAGGGCTGCCAGGGCGCTCCCCCCAAACACATCGGAGAGCCGGGTAGTCTCGAGGGATCTCGTGTACAACACTCCACCCTGTGCATCCTGAGGGTGGGTATTCCAGCACCGCCAGAATGTGCCCAAACGAGCGATTCACAACGCGGGCACTTTCCACGTGCTCCTGCTTAAGAAGTGGCCCGGAGCCACACAAATCGATGAGTACCACGCGTCCCACCGTGAACGTCTGTCGCACTTTGTGGGCAATGACACACTAAATCTGAATCCACATGCGCAAACGACGGCCATGCAGCCTCTTTTGCCTCAACCGCTCCACCGTCCCGGAAAAAATCGAAGCCCGTCACCTCGGCAAATTTTACGCCTGCAGGGACGGAGAAGGCCGTATGCGTCCCGTTGAACCTCAGCTACTACGGAATCTGTCGCACCGTTAGTCGTACCCGCGGCGCCGAGCATCACGGCACCCACGTTATGCGTCACAGCCTTCGTCTCACCCCACTCCCCATATCTCCGTCGGTGCTTGATGAGATACGCTTCTGCAAAATAATAATCATAATAACAAGTAGTAGCAGAGAAGAAGAACAAACAGCAAGACATGGTCACCAATAAACAAAACGAGGGGGAGGGGGGAGGGGGAAGAGGGGCAGAGGGAGAAAAAAAAAGGCGTAACACACAGCAAAAGAGCATGTAGCATTCGTGTGAGGCATTGAGCGCATCGGATGAAGTTGTACAGCGAGATGCATGATCTAATGACTCTTAAGAACAAAAGCTTGCAGATGCAGAACATAAACCTAAGCGAACAACACACGCAAGCACGGAGGCACCGGAGTGGCAGTACGCCTGTAAGCACCCTTGAATTTGAATGAACGCGTGTACACATACACATACATACGTAGAGGAACACACAAATATGGAAAACAGCCCCCCACCCCTCACTCAAAATAAGGCGTTGTTTGCTGCTCTTACTCCTCCTTGGTTTATTTATTTTCCTGAAAGCGGGGGAATAGAAGTTGCTACATGGTAAGTAACGTACATTCCCTATAAAATACCTACGCCTTCTTTTTGGGCTCCGTGGCTGCCGCTTTCCGCCGCTCCAGGGCGGTATGAAGCCGTGTAAACTTCATAATGGCAGCACATAAGACGGTGGCAAGCGCGTGAATATACATGTTACGCTCGTGGCGCCACTTCTTGGCTTCCCAGTCAACTTCCAGACTTAAATCGGCAAATCGCGGTTTACCTTGACCGTATCTTTTTCTCCACTCAACGAACTGCATCGCGAAGCTTACAAACGTCACCAGTGCGACGAGCAACAGTAGAGAGACACCATGAAAATTTGGCCGCTCCACAAAACTCACTGCGCAAGAGACGTAACGCGACAACCGTGGCACGGGCAAAATAAAGAGGATAAAGAGAACCATGGCGGGCGTAATGAGGTACGTCACCTCGAGCGTGAAGAGGCTAAGCATGGCTACCGGGGTTGTGCTCTTACTCGAGTGAGGGAAAAAACAAAGATGAGCGCGGGCCTCGGAAAAACCGCAATGACGCAAGAGCATCAACGACAAGGATCAATTAATACAAAAAATAAAAATAAAAAACAACGAAAACGCCCCCAAGCCACTTCGCAACATGAAACGCGACAACGCGGAACGCCCACACCCCACAAAAAACATATAACTGCAATAGACACGCAGCCCCCTGCTGCCCGCCCCCCACAACCGCCGCCGCAAGAAACGGGACGCGAACCAGGCCTCGGGCGGAAGGAGCGATGAAAGAAGAAAACACAACACACATACACCGAAAGTAAAACAGACCAAAAGAGGACCCCCAAGGAGAAAACAAATCAACAAGAGTGCTGCTGGTGGGCGACTTCCCGCGCGGGAGCGTTCACCGTGTCGCCCGTTTCTCGCGCTTGGCGGCCGAGAGTGGCGGCGGCAGCTCGATGGGCTTCGTCTCCTCCCCTGCGGCGTAGGCCTCGTCATTGTCGAAAAGAAGCATGAAACCAGACCTGGATGTCAGCCAAGGAGCGGCGCCCCCCTCAGCCGCGGGCGCCTTGGCGGGCACAAGCACAGGAAGCAGCGCGTCCGCGGCAAAGGCCGTGGCGAGGTTGGCTTCCTTTCCTTTCCTTTCCAAGACCTTCGAATGCTCTGCAGCTGGCCCTCCGTATTGGCGCCAAGGCCGGCCACGCAGCCGTTGCGGTAAACAACTAGCAGCGTCGATGGGCCCTGCACGAGCCGGTCAGCATCAAAGCCGCCATCGTTCCCCGCCACCGCCTTGGGAAGCCGAGAGCGGAAATACTCAAGAGCAGGCTTCTGGCTTACCGTTTCAAAACGCGGTGCAGAGATCTGAAAACCGTAGTCTGGCAACGCGCCCTGCACCAACAGCTCATTCCTGGCGCTGAGAAACACAGCCATGGACCTAACGCAGGCAATGTCTTTAATCCGAATCAGCTTGGCCCCTATACGGTGGGGGCCGTGCTGAAAGCTTCGGATGAGGGGCACGGGGACAGGATCAAACTCGTTTGGCGGCAGCTGCCCGGCATTTGTCGGGCCGCAGCCGTACATCCTCCTATCGTTGCTTAAAAAGAGCGAAAAGTCATTCCCCGCCGCCACCTTGATGATCCCTATCCCCTTCTTTTCAAAGTATCGGATGCGTGTGGGTTCCATGGGAGAAACCGTGGAGCCGATCCCAAGCTCCCCCCATCTATTGCTACCAAAGGAAAGCAACGACCCACACGTGAGCTGCAACACCGTGTGGTTAAACCCGCACACAATACCACAAATAGTCCCCCCGCCATGGCCCCACCAGGCATCCGTGGGATTCCACTCAGCAAACCCCTTTTCGAGACCAACCTGACGCTTGTGCCCAACACCAAGTTGCCCCATGTGGTTATTGCCAAACGCAATGACACGTCGACTACCAGGCTGATAAACAACTGTGTAATTGGACCCGCAGGACACGGATTGCGGACCTGACGTAAACGCTCCATCAAGGTCAATGTACAATGGTGCCCATCCCGGGTCTGAGACCTGTGGTTTCCCGCCCAGCGACCTATTTCGGGCATTCAGCGCCTCTCCTTGGAGTTGGTGCTGCTGCTGCGGGTGCTATTTTCGTGGGGCACCCGTCTGTCCTTAGCGATTGTCGCCAAATGTGATCAAGTTTCCCTCGCGTGTCATGAGCGCGACGTGACTGTGCCCCGCGGCGCCACAGTGGATGCCGTAAAACGGTTCAGGTGCCACCAAGGGGAAATGCGTGCGTGAGAGCGGCGGGCGTTCCAGCTCCTCCCGTTCAAACCGCAGGTACTTTGTGTGGTCCACCTCTTCCGGGGGCGGGAGGGTCCTCAGAATAACCTCCGCGGGTGGTGATTGTGCCATGCCGCAGACAGAGCCCATCCCTATGATGCGCGTGTGCAGCCGCCGAAGCATCCCCGACGGCATGCTTGCGTGCGTGTATGGCTGGATATACCGGAAAAGACAAGAAACACGGGAGAGAGACGTATTCAGCGCTGCCAACACACAAAGCGACACAATTCGCATTTCCCCGATTCCCCCGCCCCGCCTCGCCCAGCAAGAAGAGAAGACCGCAAACAACAACAACGACAACATATACATGAGTGGAAAAGCAAGAGGCAACGGGCACCGCAAAAAGCTCCCTCCCTCCCCTCCCCCAACTACAAACCAGGGCAAAACGTATTCGCACAACACAAAGCCGATAACGACAATAGCGAATAAGAGCTCGACAAAGCCGGGACAGGTGCCAATCCACAACAAAAAAAAAAGTCTACTACAACATAAAAAAATAATAATAATATGTAGTGCTTTCGAGGTCACAGCCATGCCGTTTTGTGCTTGTGTGTTTTCGGTCTTTTGTTTCTTCTCTACTTTGCACGACGGTGAGCGAGGAAGCGGGTGAGGGTGAGATATTGGTACGCCGCCATGATCGCGAGGATCAGAATGTTCCCCACCAAGCCACCCGTGATGATGTGGACAAGGGACGCGTGCCGCACGCGGTCCAGCTCCCTCATTTGCCGCATCTGCTCTGTCACGGTGGCCAGCTCGAACAGCACCGTGCCGTGCTTGTACAGCGTCTTTTCAACCGCCGCCTCCGTCCGGGCGGTGGTCTCGGGGTCCAGCTCAATCAGGTCGCGTTTCAGAAACTGAAACAACAGCCACTTCGGCGACACACGCGAAAAGGAGTTGTCAAAGCACACTGTGACCTCAGCCGGTAGCCCGTGCTTCGTCTCCGCTGCGGTGGGGGCAGTGTACGTTTGGCTGCCCTCGTTCGCCCGCCGCCACTCGTTCACCA